AAAATGATGATTAATTAAACGAATCAATTAGCGAAATTAAAGTAAGAAAAATAAAAGATAAAATAAAAATATCCCAATAGTTTAGAAAAGTAATGTTAAGATAATAAAGAAATAAAGAGTAAAATGTCTTAATTAAAATAAGAAATGGATAATAATAGGTAAAATATTTCTCGAAAAACTGTTGGTCTTTAATTATTTTGGAGAGAATTAATTGGCTTAAGAAAGTCTAAAAATTATTATCTAGAGATTGATCCTGTGTTAATACTCTATTAATTAATGAGAAAAGGAGAGTCCTTAGAATTTCTAGATGGAGATACTTTGTCAATTGATACTCAATTTTTATTAGACTTAGAAAGTAAAATAACATAGAATAAGAAACAAAAGATCTTAGTTATAAGTATATTAGGTCCATAAAGTTCAGGGAAGTCCACTATATTAAATAAAATTTTTGGATGTCATTTTTGGGCTAGCGTTGGGAGATGTACAAAAGGAATTGATTTGTAAATCTTGTAAGTGTAAAATGAAGAGTAATTTCAAAATCATTTTGATTAAATACTAATCCTAGATACAGAAGGCTTATAAAATCCAAATTAAAATGATCCAGAATTTGATAAAAAGATTGCATTATTTGTGCTTTCAATTAGTGATATCATTATAATTAATGTAAAAGGAGAAATAAATTAATAATTTAAAAGTTTGGTTGAAATGTGCATTTTTACTTTGGGGCACTTAAAAAATGGATTATCAGTGTTTTTAAGTTGGTTCTTCAATCAAAATGATAATTACAAAAATGTTGAACCATTTAGACAATAAATTAAAGACGTCGCATAAGATTTAAATATATAATGGAATGAAAATTATTAGGAGTAATAAGTAGAACATATTGATTATGCAGAAATTTTGGACATAAAAGACAACATTTATGGTTTAGGATTTGCTTCAGATTAAAAAGGTTGGTAAAAGAAAGATTGGATTCAATCAGTTAATAATCACACATTTTCCGAAGAAGCATACAGGCAAGGAATTAATATGATACAACAATTTATTTAAAAACTGTAAAATTAAAAAGATTCATTAAATAATTTTAGTCATTTTCTTCAAAATGTTCAAAGAAATTGGGAAAGTATAGAAAAATTGCCAGATTTATTAGAATTTAGTGAAATAATGCAGCATTAACAAAATTTAGTGATGAAAAAACATTTTGATGAACTTTGGAATAATTAAGATATAAGATAGGTAGGTGTGAATTTAATTCAAGAGGCTAAATTACAGTTATAAAGTCAATAGTAGATTGCTTTTCAAAATATTAGATAGATAAAATAAGAACAAGAAAATAAAATTGAATAAACAAATTAATAAATTAAAACTCATTTAGAAGAGAAGATGGAAACATTTAGAAGTGAAAATAAAATTTAGAAAAAAATCATGTAAAAGTATTTGGAAAAGCTTAAGAAGTTAATAGAAGCTTTGGAAGCAGATTGCAAATTAAAATTATTAAATTTAATTCAAGAGTATGAAAGAGAATATTAGTAGAAGAAAGGGTATGTTTAAATTGATAATTTTATTTAAGAGGTTTTAAATGATCAATTAAAGAGAAAGAAATTTCAGGGAAATGATAAAGAAATTGAATCAGAATTTAAAAAAAAATGGGACGAATTTATAAGTGAAACTGAAAGGTAATCCGAATCATAATATTTGGAAATGATTAAAGCATAATACAAAGCCTTGTAATGTATTTCTAACCAATTTATTTTAAGAACTAAAAATGAATAATAATATATAAACTATTTTAGGAATGAAATAATAAAATAAAATCCTAACAATGAATAAAGCAAAGAATAAGAGTAAATTTTTTAACTTTTTAAGTAAGAATTCTCCGAAGCTGAACAATTTATATTTATAAATAAAAAGCAGAATAATTTAGCTTATCTTGACATCTTTTAACAAAAAATTGAAGAGAAATTAGAAAAATCTAAAGCCTAATTTTTAGATATGACATAATTTTACTCACAGAAGAGCATCTATTAGGTTGTTGCAAAATAGGAAATTCAGAATTATTTACAAAATCAATTTTAGAATGATTTTCAAAATTATTTTAAAAAATATGAGAAACAAAGAAATATAAAAAATTACTATTATAATTTTCTATCTCTACTTTACTATTTGCAAATTAAATACGATGAAGAGTTAAAATAAGAATTAGACAACATCATAAATAATCCTACTAGTTGGTAGCAACTTAAATTGCTGATTAGTTCTAAATCTAGTTAAGTTTCTGAAGCTTTTTCAAAATTAAAAAAATCACTCAAATTTTACGATAATGATACTCTAGAATTAGATTTCTCAGGTAAGTAATTTGGCCAAACTTTTTAAGATGCATATCAAAGTTTGAAAGTTATCAAAATTGTTGATAGTCCATTAAATGGTGTTGGTAGTGCGCTGGATAATTCTCAAAAGTTTAGATAATAACAGTTTTAAAAATATATAATAATTGACACGGAGATTGAAATTAAACCAAATTAAAATTAGTTTTAGGAAGATTTTAACTACATAAAGTCTCCTAAAAATGATGTCCCTTATAACTTCAGAACAACATTTCCAAAACAATTTAATGAAATTATGATATAATAAAATGGTTGGAGAAAGCTTTATAATGAACTCTACGAATTAATAAAATAAGAAATTGGCTATTCAAAATCTACAATCAATAAATAGGCTTATCAAAATAATATAGAAGATGAAAATATTTCATCTTTTAATCCTTATTTAATTACAAGTATAATTTAAAAGGTTGAAAATAACATTAAAATTAAATATAATAATTAATTTGCTTAATATGGTGTAATTTTAACTGATGTTGGAGAAAGATGTATCTTTTATTATTGTATTTTAATTATATGGAGATTCCTTTGCTATTAAAGATGGAATTTAAAAAATATATAATAAAAACATCAGCACAATTATTACACTGAATTAATTAGATGTAAGGCTGAAATTAATTAAGATAATTAAAAATAAAGTTGTATTAAAGCAACTGAACTAGTCAGTAAGATATAAACATTGTTAAAAAACTAATTTTTGGATCGAACTAAAAAGGAAGTTGTATAATAAATGAATTAAGTAAGCATGTCGAACGTTGAGCTTATAGCAAAATTAGATAAGGAATTATTAATTGGTTTAAATGCAAAAATGTTTGAAGATGAGCAGTTTAAAAAAAAAATACTATCTTATACAACTGATCATAAATCATTTATTAATTTGTACATATTGAACATACTAAAATAAGTTTAAGATTAATCATTAACTGAGTATTCAAATAAATATAGAAAAGAATTAAGTTTATACTTAAAAAGCATAAAAAAAAATGCCAAAATTTTCTTTGAATATATCAAAAATCAACAAAAGGAAGTTAAAACAATTAAATATTTTGTTGAAGATGCCAAATAAAAAGATAAAATATCTTATGAAAATTATCTTTTTAGATTATTTATTTAATGTCTTCTAGGTAAGATTGAGGATAAAATTGATATTATAGAGGACTAATATAAAGAAATCTTCTAGCTTAGCAACTACCATCCTGTAGATAATTAGTTTAAGATTAATTGGTAATTATTCGATCCGTAAGATCAATAAGTTTACAATCTAAAGTCATTTGTTGAAACATTAATTCAATAAATTGATCTAATATTAGATAGTATAGATTAAATACGGTTTAAATAAACTGAGTATTAACTTGATATTGAGTTTGAGAAATTAAAATTGTAGATGAATGGCTGTGAATATACATGTCCATGTTGTAATAGAAAATGTGATGAAGATAATGATGATGTTATTAACCATATTCATAAATGTTAAAATGGCCATTAAATAAGAGGTAATTTTATAATATATTTTAGGTATTAATGGTATTTTGATATCACATAACAGCCCATCATTATATACATGTGAAGAAATACTTGATGAATGCATACTTAGGACTCTTGAAACTAATGTATAAAAAACTTGGAAAGAAGTCAAAAAAGCACATTCAAACTGGAATTTCAAAAATATCAACGAGGCAAAAAATAATGAAAATAGAGTAAAATGGAAAAATGTTTGGAATATTGGTTTGGGAAAATTAATTTGTTAACACTTAAAAAAATCATTAAACCATGAAATCATATTCTCATAAAAATCAGATTTTCAAATTTCAATTTCGAATATTCATTACATTCTCATTCTTGATGATTCAGGGTCAATGTAAGGAGTTAATTGGGATAATGCCAAAAATGGAGCTTTACATTGTATAAAGTCATTAGAAAACGTTGATTGTGCAAAAGTTAGCGTTATAATCTTTAATGGAGATGCAAGAATAGTAGTAGAATGTTAAAAACCAAACTACATTTAGATGAGTAGCTGCATTTCTTATAAAGGAGGGAATACTGCGTTTGACCCTCCATTTAATTTGGCTCTCTAATTGATTGTAAAATATAAAGGCTTCAATAAGTAAAAAAATTTTAAATATTAGAATTTAAATATTATTTTATACTGATGGAGAAGCAGGCTATCCATAAACTACAATTGATAAGTTCTGTTAACTACCACCGTAAATTAGAAGTCTAATCAACTTAATAGCCTGTTCTGGAGAAAAATCTTCTCATTCATTATAATTAATGATCTAGAAGTTCTAATAAAACATGTAATAAGCTTCATTAAGAAATTCTGTATAACCCATAGAAATTTAGAAAGTTTGGACAGAAGTAGTGAGCAAAAATATTCATTCATAACTGGTTTGAAAATGAATTATATTAATTGAATAATTTATGAAGTTAAGATATTGCCTAATATAAAATTTAAATAAATAATCATATTATGATTACAAGTCAAATAACATCCTCTATTAAACAATCCATTCTAGATTTTAAATATAAAATGAATAAAACTCTATAACCAACAATGTCGAAAACACCATTATGGCAACAACTTAACATAATCCCTCTAAACCCCTTGATCAGGCCAAAGTTCATGCTTATATTTGTTCAAAGTAAAATTCTTTGAACATTTATAATTAGTATTATGGATAAATCTTAGGAAGAAGAAATTTTTTGTGATATAAACTAATTCTTTTGAAATTTAACAAATTTTTTAAATAATTCTGTTCTTTGATTTATTATTTGGAATGAGTTTTAAGCATGACGCATTTTAATAAATTTTTATCATATTTTTTTCTTTTCCATCTTTTTTTAAATCAATTTTATTTAAAACTGATTCACTAGTATAACCTTTTACAAAAGAAATAATCATCAACTAACTTTATTGTCCCAGAAAGCAAGTTTTTAATTATTTGCTTGAGAATCAAGGTCTTTTGGTATCAATAGCTTCTTTTTTTTTGTATTAAAGTGACTCCTGAAAATATCAACTATTTCAATTAAATTATTCTTTTAAATAGTTTATTAATTTTAATGATTCCAACTTCTTTTATTTTAATTAATTCTATAATTCTTTGACTCTAATTAAAATATTTTTTGGCCATTTCCAAAAAAATAAATCTTTTTTTTGTGCTTAATAATTTTGTTTTCTTTAGAAATTTTGCAAAGCAACTTCAGTCATGAGGTGTAAAATAAATTGCAAAGCATTATAATTTGTTTGTTTTAGTGTAATAATCAGGTTAAAGAATTTCTAATTTCATAACATATATTAGAAATTCTTTCGATTAATATTTGAATTCTACTCCAAAATATCTTAAAAATTAGAAAAAATATATCTATTATCAAGTTATAGAAAAAGTAAATAAAATAAAATACAACTATTAATTTATCAGAATATGCAACACTTTAATCGACATTAAATTTTCCTTCTGATCATCTATTAGTTTTGTACATAATTCATTAAAATAATGAACATAAATTCTTATAATTTTCTATTCCACAATTTTCTTTATTTTTATTAGTTAGCATTAGACATAATCCATAATCTCTACTCGGACATATAATGAGATATATTATTTCAAATTATTCTAATTTCCATTCAACTTTAAAAATAGAATAGTTACATTCTTTTGAATAGATCGAATAAATATATTAATTAAATGAGTGATTAAATTTTTGAGTATTTATTAGAACGAAAATTAGGATTCGGTAAGCATTAATTAAGATAATTCTTCATCATAAGTTTTATCGACTTTCTTGATGGTGCCGAGTTTCTTTTTTTATCATTACTTACACCAACATTAAAATAGGAATGGAATTTATCAATAGTTGAACTTTCTATATTTGGTGGCTCATTTAACTTAGGCTTAATGATAGGATCAACAATATGTGGGTTCTTGGCAGATAAAATAGGAAGGAAACGTATTTTAATAATAGGAACAGTTTTGCAAGTATTTTATAGAGTTATGATATAAAGACTGGAGTCGTTTTTCTTACAGTATTTGCTTAAAACATACTTCAAATGATCCTGCTTCGACTTACATATGGAACTGTCATAGGAATGAATCTTCCTATTAGTTCAATATTAATGATTGAAGTGACTCCAAAACTTCATCGAGGTAAGATTATAGTGGCACTATAAATAATGATATTGTTGGGACGATGTTGGATAATGATATTGGGATATATTTTTATGGAAGGTATTTCAAAGGGCAACTGGAGAGCCATCTCTTTATGTAATAGTATGCCATGTTTGTTTTGTCTAATTGGTACAATCTTTTGGATTTAAGAATCCCCAAGATTTTTGATTTTACACTAAGAAATACAAAAAGGAATTGATAATCTAAATAATATCGGATAATTTAATAATTCAGATTATGAGATGTTGACTGATAATGAAATTTTGAGTTTAAAAGAGTGGGCATCAGAGTAACATTTACACCACCAATAAGAAAATAATTCTATTAAGCAACTGTTTAATTCAGAAAATCTTCCGATTACTTGGAGGAATTATTTGATATTTTTCTTGTTTATGTTCACAATGTTGGCTATCTTTAACATATTGCCATTTATTTTGGATGATGAAAACAAGTCTTTGTTACATTTATACATCGTCGACATAGGTGAGATCCCAGCTATATTTTTAATGTTATATAGTATAGATACATTTGGTCGATTATCCACCTTATTATTATCTACAACACTGCTCATTATAATTCTATTTTCGATTTGGGTTTGGAAATTTTAAATTATCATTATGGGACTCATCATCTTCAAATTCTGTTGCAAGATAAATTGGGGAACATTAAATGTATTATTTGCTGAATCCTATCATACTCTATACCGATCATTAGGAGTTGGAACAACAATGGCCATGGGTAGAATAGCAGGATCTCTTGCACCATTTGTCGTCTTCCCAATCTACTTCAATAATAATTATTTGCCATTCTTAATATGCGGCGTATGCAGTTTTTTCATGCTAATTCTATTAATATCTTATCCTATTGACTTAACTAAAAAGCCCTTAGATTAGTTAAAAAAGTAATGATGTATAAATTATATATTTAATATAAAAATAATAATATGCAGTAATTATAGCAATTTATATGGGTTTAAGGAAGAAGTTATTAACAGAGATGGTGTTATAAGTAAAGTTAAATAAATGGATATTTATCAGGTATAGGCAAAAGATAGTTATTATGCATGTTGTTATATTTCTTATACTTTTCAATTGGACCTTAAGTAATATAAAATATAACCACATGTCACAGCGAAAATGAATTTAAAATGAAAATTTTGAAGAATTTATTACTTGTAAAGTATATACTTCAAAATAATATTTAGATAAATGCCATTTGCTTTCAAAAATAATTTAAGGCATGTTTCCGATTATAAAACTAAGGATAAATTAAAATTAATCAGAACTTAGTGTATGTATCTGTAAACATTTTGAGTCTATTACAATTGCTAATTTTAAATGTTTGGGATAATATTTAGCGAAGATTTTTCTTAAGTAAAGAGAATATAATAAATGTTAAATTATTTTAAGTCCTTATAATTAACAAATCAAATTGGAGGTGTCAAGGCGAATATGAATTTGGCTATTGATCTTGTCCTTGTCCATTGATAGATTCCTCCTTTGACAACTGTAATAAAAACCTTAAAGTACAACCTAGTAAGCTAATTATTTATTTAAAGTGACATGCTTCTCCATACAATTCATAATTTGCTGAAAATTCTCTAAGTAATAATAAATTTTTAGATTTATTCTTTAATGATATTTACTGTGTGAATTTCAATTCAAATAGTAATTAACTGAAGATTTATCGAAATTTACTTTTGTACATAGAGAGTCTGTTCTTGATTGAATATGCTATTTACACAATAATTATTTAAGGCTAATTTAGTATGAACCATGAAGTTTGATTACTACATATAAATTATACCAATATTCGAATCTTTAAAGGTTTTCCTGTAACTGAATATTCGATCAAACATTCTTTGGCTTATGATGCCATAATAGAAACTCAATCTTTGATTGTAGTAACTCTTGAAAAGAAATGCAAACGCTGAAAATGATTGGATGCTTAATTAAGTAAATTTTAGAGTTCGAAAAATCCTTAATGCAAGTTATTGACGTTTCACAACAAGTGCATTGTATTTTATTATTATCATTAAGTTAATAAACATGAATTATAATTATATATATTTTCTATCTCAAGTTGGTAAAAGAATGAAAAGAAAAGACATAAGATTTTAAAATTAATATTAAGTAAATCTTTAATTAGTATTATCAAAATCACCAAGTAGTTTAGAGGGAAAACGTTGCTCTTGAGAAGCGAAGATCCGAGTTCAAGTCTCCGGGTTGGTGATTTTTTGTTTTTATTCAAATAATTCAAAATATAATATTTTATGAATAGTTGATCTAAAAATATTTCAATTAATTTCAAAACTGCACAAGCTAATTCTTAAATGTAAAATGAAGTTAATAGACTTTAAAAATTTTTGCTCATTTGAATAAGATGTTATTTTAATTAGTACAATACATGATATACAATAAGAGAGAAAAATTATAAATGTATAAAAATTTATTGACTCTAGTTTATAATATTTTAATTAGCTTTAAATGTAGATAAGTGGTGAAAGATTATTAATTTAAGTTTAATTTCAAATACTGCAAAAAGATTGAATGTAAATTGATGTGAATAAAACGAGTTTAACCTCTAGGTATTATACAACCAAAGGGGTGCATAATGTAAAAGGAAGTTACGTAGAAATACTGAGAATAACTTTGATTGTGTAACTGAAGCATAAAGAGAAAGGGAATTTCTTCAAAATTAATAATAATCAAGAATTGCGACATTACTCTAAGTTCACTTGCAAATTATTCAATGCAATTGAAAAATGCCCATGATTACAATTAATGTATTTCGCAAAATTAAATGCTAATAAATATAGTGTTATTATATATCAGTTTCTTATAGTCATAAAGATTTTCATGAATATGGAAACTATAGTGAATTATGATTAAGATACACATTTGATAATGAAGTATGTATCACAAGCAGCAATTTTAAAGCTACAAAAGAAGCATAAATTATTGTAATAAAAATAGGGAAATAGAAACAATAATAAATTGTAATGTAAAAATAAATAATTAACATTATAATACTTTGATTTTCGACATCAAAAGATATTTTGAAAAATAGTTTGCTTTGAAAAAACTTTAAAAGATTAATCCTATAATATATTTTAATAATTCTAATACATATTCTTTGTTTTACAACTCTTGAATGATATCTTAAAACGATACAAAATAATATATTCTAATAGGTGTTGATAATTTAAGTATAAGATTGTGAAAAATAATGTAAATATATATAATTTGATATTATTATTCATAATTTCTATTTGAAAGTTCCAACTTACAATTCGTCAGTAGTCAATTACCAAAATACACAACTTAAGAACATTAACATAATACAGTTATTTACATTAATAAAATCATATAAAAAATTGACCCATTCTGATCAGAATATATAATTGTAAACCTACTTACTATATCCATTCTTTGATATCAAGAGCTACTTCTATGGAATGTATTACATAGCAAAGTAGGCTTCACAAAGCTA